ATAGCAGCACTATTTACAATAGCTAAGATCTGGAAACAGTCCAAGTGTCCCTCAGTAGATGAATGGATAAAAAAACAGTGGTACATATACACAATGGAGTACTACGCAACTGTAAGAAAGAAAGATCTCTTATCCTTTGAGGCAACATGGAGGGACCTGAAAAGTATTATCCTAAGTAAAAGAAGCCATGCAGAAAAGGACAAATACCCCATGATCTCACTCATTTGTGGAATATAATGAATATAAAAGTCTGAGGTATAGAGTAGTCCCAGAGACATGGAAGTAGGGTACAGACTGACAACCCTCAGAAGAGGGGGTAGTGCGGGGAGGGAGAGATAAACCACAGAACTTATATGCATGTATGCATAACCAGTAGACACGGACAACAAATCCGGGGATGGGGTGGGGAGGATGAGGAGGAGGGTGTCAATGGGGTAAAAAAGGAGAAACATCTGTAACAAAAATAAAATTTAAGAAAGGAAGAAAGGGAGGGAGGGAGGGAGAGAAAGAAAGAAAGACAGGAAGACAGGAAGACAGACAGAAAGAAAGACAGAAAGAAAGACAGAAAGAAAGAAAGACAGAAAGAAAGAAAGAAAGAAAGAAAGAAAGAAAGAAAGAAAGAAAGAAAGAAAGAAAGAAGATAAAAAAAGTCAAAAAAAAAGAAAAGAAAAGAAATCTGGTTCATGACCACTTTACTGCCTAGCTTTATCAATTCAAAGCACAAACTATCATTGTTAGTTACTAACAGGTTAGTACTGGTAGATGGGTGAACTTGGTGCCAAAAGATATCTCAGGGTTCATTCAGAACGCGTTTCTAATAGCCAGGGCTATCCACAGATGGAACAGACTCTCTAATGAAGTAAGATGCTCCCCATCACTGTTGCAGGAAGAGGCCAGGTGAGCATTTCATTAGAGGGGTGCTCTGTTGGAGAGGGTGATGAGCTTTAGTCCTTTAAGGTCTATACCAATCTTGTAATTTTATGACTGCTCGTCCCTAGATGTCTCAATGTTCTATCTCTGGAAGCCAATGCTTGTTTATTTTCCTAGATAACCTCCATTCCTTTCTCTGGTCTTTCTCTGTTCCACTTCCTTTTTTTATTTTCCATTAATCCTAGCATTAATAGCAGGAAAGGGCCTGGGCTTTGCAATAGAAAAGGCCAGGGTATAAATGTTCAATCTCTCATGCAATAGCTAATTGATACTGGGCAAGTTACTAAGACTTCCTCTCAATGAGGTTCTATAAAATATAGCAAGTAACATCAAATGTGAGAAAAACATATGACAGTGTAGTGCCTTCTCCACAGAAGCTCAGTAAATTGAGTCTGCTTCATTTGCAATGTTCTCTCAACTCTATCTGCTACAATGTAATCCTCGTATTATGATCTTTACTGTCCTAGAGTGCCTACAGAGATCTTCGGTACACTAAAAATAAGTACAGTCACAAAATACCTATGCATTTTACCTACCACACAGTTAAAAGCAAAAGGAAAATGCCCCACATTCTCGGGTTCACTGTGGACTCCCCACTGCCAGGACCCAGGGCCATTACCAAAGTCTGTGCTCCTTTCTCTGACATTCTAAATCCCAACTGCACCCAGGGCCATATTGATCCCACAGACTTCCCCTCATCAGAACCTCCAGGGATAACAAGCTATATTGCACAGAACTTGCAAGGTCCCCTAGCTCTTGTTTAAATCATACAAGTGTGTAGAGACGCTGACAAGGGCACTTGGCGTTATCTAAAGTTATCTGAATCTTAGACACATCGGGCCAACTCTCTTTGCCAATTTCTGTTTTTTATAATTTAAAAACTGTGCAGTGTGCCCTGGCCGGTGTGCTCTATGGTTAGAGCACTAGCCTGTGCACTGAAGGGTTGCAGGTTCGATTCCCAGTCAAGGTCACGTACCTGGGTTGCAGGTTTGATCCCTGGCCCCGGTCAATGTGCATGCAGGAGGCAACCAATTGATGGGTCTTTCTCACATCGATGTTTCTCCCTCTCCCCTTCCCTCCCTCCATTCTTTTCTCTAAAAATCAATGGAAAAAATATCATCAGGTGAGGATTAACAAAAAACAAACAAATAAACAAACTGTGCAGTGCTAGATGATGAATACCACCACTAAAAATAACACAATGTATCAAGATGGGAATGAACTTAATTGGAAAAGGAAATTATTAGAAACACAGCAAGAGGCAGGAAAGACAGCTGAGAACATTCCCCAGAGATCAAATCACCCAAACAGCCTCACTGGAAGGCCACCAGGCACACCTGGCTGTCCTGTCCCTTCAGTCTCTTTTCTATAATCTTAAAATCATTAACTGTCCTTGTCTACTGCCGTCTGAATGTCTAAAGTCCCAGACAGGAGTCTCTGGGAGCCTCGTGTGTAGGTACCACAACCATCACCCTAGCTGTTACGGAGCAGGGAAGAGGACCAACTGCCCTTCCTCAGAAAGGGTGAGTAAGGGGCAGGGTAGCCCAAACAGCAGCAAACATCCAGAGGCTGGATCTTCATCACGCCCCCGTGGGAGTGTCTACTGCACCTCCACTCTCCTTTTTTGACAAGAGAAGGTACTGACTTGCTCAGGTTCATGTAGCTGGTCAAGTGCCAGCATGAGAATCATCCAAAACTCCTGGTTCTTGACTCCCAGTAGAAATCTGTCATCATAGGCATGCACAATGATACGGTGGTTACCAGAGGGAAAGGGGGATGGGGTGAGGTGGTAAAGGGGGTCAAATATATGGCATAAGGAGGCTTGACATTGGGTGGTAAACAATGCAACACGCAAATGATGTATTACAGAATTGTGCACCTGTAATTAACCAATTTCACCCCAATACATTAAATATTTAAAAATCTGTTTAAAAAGCAGCTTTAACGAGCACCCTAACTTGTCCTAAATATAGGTGTTTGGTTTTTTTCCCCATGAATGTTCTAATCCCTCCTCATATTCTGTCATAAATGTGACTGTGTGGTCATGCGTACTATCCAGGTTGCTGGCCTTTCAGAAACCTTTAAAAGTGGTATTTTTATGAAACCCATCATTTCTTCAAAATCCTGAACTTAAAAACCTTAACAGTAGTTGTGCAACACAAATAAATATCCAGGCGTCTTTGTCTGAGAATCATTTGTCTCTACTCTTAGATTAATAGTTCCTATTATTAATAAACTAAGAAAGGATGCAAATGTCACTAATATGAAAACACTGTACATATTAGGTTTTGGAAAAAAGATGTTTTCATAAAATCCACCTGATAGTTTTAACTTTATAATTATATATAATGTTGTGTTTTCTTCTATCCTTGGAGATTTAACAAAACTTCTCTATTTTAAAAAGCCTCCTAAGGCGGATTACATGGTCAAAGGAAAACAAAGCCTTATAAAATAACCCAATAACTTCAGCGTTTCACCCTAAGACCCTTTTCCCTCCTACCCATTTTTGAAGCCAAGAAAGATGAACTAAGCTGTTCATCTTTAGTTGATTCAAATCTACTTTTTTTTTTTTGGTACGTACCCCTAGTGGGAACCGAACCTGGGACTCTCTGGTCCGCAGGCCAATGCTCCAGCTGCTGAGCCAAACCGGCCAGGGCTCAAATCTACCTTTTTAATAGCAAGTGGCTGATGCCAAAGAAAGGATTAAAGACAGTGTTCTTTCAACAATTCCTTATTATAGCCTGGGATTTGCTTTGCAATTAGTCCCTCCTGGACAGAGCTGAGGCCAAGTGAACTTGTTATTACCATGTCTAGAGCTCGCTAAAAAGTGTAAACTCCACACTTGCTAAGGGGCAGGTACCACAAGCATAAAGGTGCTGTGGCAGAGAACGTCAAGGCCTTTGCTGAGGGCAGTTCAAAGCGGTGTTGAGCCCCAGCCCTCAGAAATAAAAGCAGAGACCATTTCCCATCATCCATATCGTTAGGAACAAGGTAACAGCAAAAAGAGTATGAACTTCAGTAAATGTTGAGTCCTGTATAAGTCTCAGAGTAATCTTTCTACCATGCCTATTACTTCTTTCTTATATTTAGCAGTAAAGGCGTTAAAGGGGGCAGGGGTCTTTTTCCTTTGTGCTTGATTTCGGGGCAGCAAAGATGAGGGGAGCAGCCACCAATCATAGGAGGGTGGAAGAAGAACCCACAGAAGGGGGCTGGGGGTGTCAGGGGACACCAAAGGAAAGGCAGGTGGCCGTGAGCCCAGGGCCTTTTTCAAGGATTCAAGTGAGAACCAGGGAGGCAACTTATCCAGGCTGGGGAATCTGTCTTGGTCTTAACCTCTAAAAAAAACCAAAAACAATGGTTCGTGGAAGTTCACCGGTGCCAGCCCCTGAGTGCCAGGCCAGAACACTGAGTACGGTTCTCTAAGCAAGTCACAGCTCTGCTTTACTGAGCCCACTGCTGACCAGAGGGCAGCGGCTCACAAACGTGTGGACTTGGTAGGAGCACATCTAAGTGAGAGAGTAGCAAGCATTTAATGCCCATCACTGAAACAAGTTTCCCAGAAGAGTACCAACTTGAATATGTTCTTTTCCTAGAAGCGTCCATCGCATGGAAGGGAGGTGTTACCATCCTCCTTTTACACACAAGGAAACGAACGCCTCACTTGCTCTCGAGCCCTCTGAGTCTAAGTCCAACACTGTCTTCTGCAGGAAGCTCTCTCACAGGATGTGTGTTGGGCTTGACAATGAATGCTGGAACGCTGTTGTGGGCATCCTGAGGTAATTCCTATAAAACTGTGTCAGGAAGGAGATGGGATACATCATTTTCACCATTAAAACGAAATGGAGGCCCTGACTTTAAAAATACTTGGCCAGGCATCTACTAGGGTACTCTTCAAGGCATGCTCTTTCCTTTAAACATCACATTTTTGACATATCAAAAAAAAGTTATTTTCTCTCTGCTATTTCCCATGGAGCTCAAGTTCCAGGCTCACTCCCAGCTTCTGAAAGCTCATCCTTGTCTTATTTCTGGCTCATCTTTCTAATTCAACCTGAGTTTCCACATTCCCTCTCTCCTGGGCTGTCAGCAGATTCTTCCTCCGGTTCCCTCATTCTCCTGCCCCATCTCTTCTCCAGAGGCCTTCAAGCCTGTGCTTTCCATATCTGTGCACGATGTTCCTTCTCAACCTCGGAGAGTAAAAGAACTGCAAAAAAAAAAAAACCTGAAACCATCACCTTCCATCCCAACATTAATCTGGCAGCCCATTAGTTTGATTTGATCAGTGTGTGCTGTGTGCAGTCTCAAACGCAGAAGCAAAGATGAGTAGGGCCCTGCCTGGCTCAGAGCACATAATCTAGGGTGGCAGGCAGAGTGCATACAGCTAACTAATGCAAGACTCTGGTACAAACGTGAGAGGAACTGTTTCTGGCTGGAGAAATTTAGAAAAGGCTCTGACCCTAAAAATCTGTTCCTGGCCGATCCTAGTACATCGGGAACGACCTTCAAAGCAGGATGCATAAAATCATACTAATTTACAAGTAACGATCTTCCAACACCTTTCTGTCTAGGACCTCAAAGTACTCGTATCTCACAAGAAGAGATGGTAGAGTCCGGCTGGTGTGGCTCAGTGGCTGAGCGCTGGCTCATGCACCAAGAGGTCACTGGTTCGATTCCTGGTCAGGGCACATGCCCAGGTTGCGGGCTTGATCCCCAGTAGGGGACATGCAGGAGAGAGCCAATCAATGTTTCTCTCTTTCTCTCTCTCTCACCTCTCTCTCTAAAAATCAATACAAATATTTTTAAAAAGAAATAGATGGTAGAGTTATTATTAACCCCATTTTACAGATGAGTAAGTTGAAATCCTTGCCTAACAAATGATCATAAAAAGAACTGAAAAGCAAATTCACCTCCTATCTAGCAATAGTGTTCAAACACTTTGGAACTATAACTTTCCTAATTTCTCCAATGAAACATGCTCAAATAAGGGAAGTTAATCCCACAAAGAGCAGGCAATTTGAAGTATTTATTCAGGAAAATTCAAGCCAAAATACTGAAGAGCTTTATCTCCATTTTCTGGGTACCCTTTGAGCCATTTCTATAAACCAGGCACAGTGTGTCCCAGGCCAGAACACAACCATGATACACAAGACACACCAGACCGTCACCAGACACTCAGCATAAGAGTCATCTCCTCTCTGACTCTTTCCTGAAACATCACTCTCTCCTCCAGGTAGGACAAAAACACTTCCTCCCACCAAACCCACTTATATTCTGCCTGGCTTTGACTTGATTGCAGTTAGGACATGGCTCTGAGTAAAGTCAATTAATCTCTGCCCCTCCTGATCCTCCTCTATTAAAATAAGAACATTAGTACTTACACCTCATTGGTGGTTGGGAAGATGCAGCAAATTAATACACACGAACTGTTCAGAACACTGCCTGACATAACATAAGCAGTCAATACATTGCACCACTTCATTAGTCTTGTTTAGTGCAGCAGTTAAGAGTACCTGGGTTTACATGCTGGCCCTTCCATTCATCAACTGTAATTAGAGGGTCAATCCATTATCCACCTGGTGGAAAAGTGGTGAGGATTACATGAGATAATGCAGGTAAGAGTATTCAGTACTTAGTAAGTGCTCAACAAATGATAGTTACATTACCTGTCTGCTTTTATGAGGAGCTTTGGCCTCTAATTTTTTTTTCTTCCTAGAGCCCAGCACACCACCAAGCACAGTGTTAAGTACTTAGTAAATGCTATAATAAATGAGTGGCGGGCGGCCGTTTTAGTTCAGGCAGGTGAAGCTGATCGCTGGCTCCTTGGCCTTGTTTGTCTGCCACCACCTGGCACTTAATAGGAGCAAAGGAAATCATGACAAACCAGTGAAAGGCTGCAATTATCCCCCAGTGCCTCAGTGCACCGCGGTGTTTTGCGTGGCAAGTCCCCTCCCATTTAAAACCGCCTGTATGTTTGTTTTACTCCCACCTCGGTAACCTTGGTTAAAACAACAACAACACAGCCCAGAGCAGGATTAGAGAGGCAGGGACTGGAGGTGGCAGAAGTGGAGGCAACGCCCAGGCAGCAGCCCTGGGGTTGGCTGGCCGAGTTCGGTGGGATCCTCAGGAGGCGCAGAAGGGAAGACGAAGGACAGAGCACGCGGGGCAGTGGGCCGCCAGGAGCTGCACAACGCCCACGGGAGGGAACAAAGAGCCGGGGCACTGGACTGCGATCCCCGCCGCCCACCGGGAAGCCTCTCCGGAGGGTGCGGGAGAGGGGGAGGGCCCCGGAGGGGGCGTGGCCAGGAGGGTTTGGCTGGGGGCGGGGTGCAGCCTGAAGGCGGGGGCAATGGGCGGGGCACAGCGGAAGGGAAGGGGGCGGGGAGGAGACTAGGCGGCCTGAGGTCCTATTTCCCAAACAGAGCCGGTAGGCACCTGGTAAGGCTTCTGGGCTGAGCCGCTTCTGGGCTGAGCCGCTTCCAGGGCTCACAGAGACCCAGGGCAGTCGGGCATCAAGGATGCGAGGACAAAAGTCTCCTGTCCACCCCCCGCAGAATATTCCTAGCTGTGAGATGAACAACAGCATGACAGTTTTTATTTCTACCAGCCCACGAGAAAAGGAGGCGGCCTCCTGCTCTCAGGAAAGAGCACAGGGCCCTGTTTGGTTCAGTTTGGGACAGTGTCAGACTGGCCTGGTCAAGGTTCAGTCTCGCATTTCAGATACACGGACGGCAGGGCCCTGGCAGTAATGCCTGTGGATGGCGGGCGGAGCACCTACCAGCCCATGGGCTCGCCAGTGGCTCTTGACTGTCCTGTATTTTTTTTTTCCTCCCCAGGAAAAAAAAAAAATTAGCAGTCCAAGTCTCAAGGGTGTATTTTTGTTTGTTTTTTGAGACCAACAGCCTCACAAAATACCAAGTCATGGAAACGAAACTATAAAAGCTACTACTATTTATTGAGCAGCTACTGGGTGCTTCTGGTTGTCATCCTCTCCCTTTGCCTCAAAATCCATCCATTCAAACATCTAATGAGTATCTTCCATAAACAGGAACTGTGCCATGGCTGGGATAGCAAATGTAAGGAGGGAGGGGGGTCCCAGGCCTCACTCAGGGAACTCGAAGCACATCCAAAAAGTGGGAACAATTTGCAAAGGAGGAAATTTACAATTGGTAATTTGCCCTTGGTGAGGCCCAGATCACTCTATTGATGGCCACATCCCACCTCCTAAACACAGTAGGACTTCAGTGTTAACATTGGCTTTACCCTTCTACTTAGGGAAAACAAAATGAAACCAAGGATTGGTACCTATCAACAAACTGAAGGAACTAAATCCAATAGGTCAATCAAATGGCTGTAAAACTATCAGAGAAAGGGTTCTGGCAACGCATGCATGACAGCTTAAGAATTACTAGAAAATGCATTAACTCAACAACCACATTCCTGAAGATTCAAATTAAAGGATACCATTAGTTATAAGATATGATATGATGTAGTCTCTCCTAAGAAATAGAGATGTTTTCTCTATTTTTAAATTTTAATCTTTTATATGCACTCTATTTTGCTCATCACTATTAACTGCTATGTTAGGAGTTGCCAAAGCTTGGCTTACATTTCAAAAGTACACAGACTAACAGCTCTCTAAAGGACTATCTCCAACCTCTCCATTTACAAGAAACAGGGCAAGTGCGGAGAGGCTCCCACCACTGGGGGTTGGCTGGTAAGACCAGGAATCAGAGCCTAAATCTCCCAACCAGTTATCTTCTAAATAGTATATTATATGTCTAACAAACCCCTGGTGTATTCACATTTAATTCTCCAGAGAAGCTCTTCAGCTGCAAAATACAATTGAAGCCTACATTTATGTGTGTACAGGGGACTGGGCAATAAAAATATTTCTAACTGAATGTCCCTATTTAACATAAGTTATAGGTGTTTTTTATCCTCCTAACAAAACTCATCAGTTCTACCCACTATACTACCAAAAAATATGTTTAGAAATTGTGAGCTGGGAAAAAAAAAAAAATCCAGCAGGTAGTCTCTCTTTTCACTTTCAAGAGTGTATGAAGATATCTTAAAAATATGAAATCAGCCTTGGCCGGTTTTGCTCAGTGGTTAGAGCGTTGGCCGGGTTCGGTTCCTGCTAAGGGCATGTACCTCAGGGTTGCAGTTTGTCCCCGGCCCTGGTTGGGGTCATGTGGGTGGTAACCACTCGATGTGTCTCTCTCACATTGATGTTTCTCTCTCTCTCTTCCTCCCCTCTCCCTCCCGCTCTATCTCAAGATAAATGCAAAAATGTCCTTAGGTGAGGATTAAAAAAAAAAAATGAAGTCAGGCTTTCCATGAACAAAGATGATTCCTAAAAGACATCACTGAATACAACTGTTTTCTTTTTTTGCTGCTTGTTTATCCACATAAATTTCTTTATTTTCTTTCAAGTAAACCAGTACGTTTACAGATTTTAGGTTTTTCTCCTTAACTAAAGGCACTATTCAGTTTCAATGTCCTTGGAGTGTTTTATCTGGGGATTAGACAACTGTACCAAAACACAGCTGTTCCATTTTTTTCTGCTTTATTTTTCACATTAAAAAATTCTCCCACTATCAGCCAGTCCAATTAGTTACTCACTATCAAAAGCCGGCTTTGGTCTTTCATGTTCTAGAAAACTGGATCCAAGTGACAGGGTGTCATGGAAACTGTATCTCGGGTCATTTCCTGTTTCAATTGTTTAGCAACCCCAAAAGAAAAAAGAAAAAAGAAAAAAAAACCTCAGCTCTATCAGATGGAAATTAATGAATGCTTGCTGTTGCCTTCTGAAGAGCATGCAACTAAATGAAAAAGTAATTATCCTTTTTGCCCAAGTTTTCCCACCAACACCAAGGAATGAGGGGAGATCAGTGCACCCGAAATGGGAAAAGAAAAGTACTTTGATTGATGCAATGAACCCAAGCCTTTTTCAGTTCAGTTCCGCAATGCAGTGGTCAGTTAAGGCTGTCACTGGGGTTTGGGAAAAGTAACTACAGGTTAAGTGGTTTTAATTGTAGTTAACTTTGTTCTTACTCTTCCAACAAAACTTTACCTCTCCTCACCTATTCTACTTCACCCCAATTTTGACATGAACTAGACAGAGCTGGTATTCTCCTCTTTGACCTGAAATCCTCTCAACCTAAGAGGAATGAGGAAATGAAACAAAAATAGTAATAGAATCTGAAAAGATTTCTTGCTGTACTTATTCTCTGCTAACAAAAGAAACAACACACACACACACACACACACGCATGCACGCACGCACACTCACACACGAGGGAAAAGTGGAGCTTAAGGCCTACAAGCAATACCAGACAAGCACATGTGTTTAGGAAATGAAGTCCTGGCTGGAATTCAGTAATAATGAGCCCCTTAGTGATCTAATGTACACCAGCGTACACTGTGGGTGGAAGCAGAGTACCAGACAGGACAATGGGGAACTCAACCTGTCTTTAATATGTTTCAGCTCTGTCTAAATAACTGCTGGCAAAAAACGGGGAGGCAATACAACAAATCAATTTTAGGGCTCAAGAGGATTTGCTCGAATAAGATATCTATGAAGTGTACATTACAGGGTAAGTTCACAGCTCCATTGTGGGCAAGGTGCCTACGTGCAATGCTGTCCTTTTTAGGTTGTGATATATCCTTTCTGTTCCTGAACAGGAAGTATCTGTGCTGCTGCATTTTCTTAGATTTAAAGAAGAAAACAACTTAAAAAACATCTCCCAAACCAATTAACTTTAAACATTATTAAAGTAAGCTAAGCCTTATATTATCTAAATCCAAAGTACCATTCGGACAATTTCTATAAAGAAGGTGGTGAAGGAAAAAGGGGACACCTTTTAGCAATGACACCTGAGTTCTAGACCTTTGATATGCTGTAAAGTCACTGTGCATTTCTTCAGTGCCAGCGAAGACGCATCTAGACCAAGCCTGTCCACCGTTTCTCTTCTGGTCACACACACGCTGCCCAGTTCCTCCCTCCAAATCTACACATATGCCCCTAAGACGCCAACTAGTTTATTAAAAATCAGATGGAGCTGATGATCTCTAACTGAAGTCGCTTCTATTTCTTTTTTCTTCGCCTTTGACGAAAGTAGAACATCCACACATACTGCTACACCTTTCAGGGAGAAAAGTCCCTACTTTAGGAGAACGTTACAGACAGGCAATCTTTTCCGTGTTTATATTATATTCACCATGGTTTGAGCCGTATGTGCACAGAACACAAGAAGTACAAGTAATTTCACCAGAGGCAGTATTTGCCAGAAGAAGTTATGTCTAGGAGCCATTCAGATAGTATTTTCTTACAGAAAAAACAGTTAAAATATGGAAGTAACTGCTGAAGGCATCAACACAAAAGGCATAATCAGTTCAAAGAGGCAGTGAACCTAGACTAAAATAAATCCAAGAGTACAGCTATGAACCAGACTTGAAGGCCTCTGGTCATGATGAGTGAAGCTGGTTTCATCCCAAGAGAAACAACACATAAAATAAAGATGGAGCTGGTACAAGGGGTTGTGAACGGTAAGAGAGGCAAGAAATACAGTCAGCAGTGTATCAAGACAGACCATCTTTATATTCTGTTCATAACTCACTATTTTTCTTTTAATTTCTTTACCCTAGAAAATGCCATGTTAGTGAGCTCCTTGCACATTCTACCTTATTTATTAAAAATGGAAGAGGAGGAAATAGAGACTCTTAGTTTGTAAGCAGCAGCTCAATTACAAAAGAATTCTAATCAACTCT